AACGCCAAGGACAACAATAACAACACACGGACACACAGAGCTTCATTCATGGCTCAAACTCGGCCCTCTCAGCGCCCAGCCTCCAGTCTTCAGGCGGCCAGCTTTATCCTTGCAATCGCCATGTGTGTGTGAGTGCAAGTGCATGTGTGTGTGTGTATGTATATGTCATTGCCGGGCTCTGCATCTTTTTGCTTTCGTTTTAGAAAACTCGCAGCTCGCACGACATTCAAACAGTCGCCCAAAAAGAAACTGCAACGAAGCAAGGACGAATTTTTTGGCAATTTTTTCGACTCAGACCCAGACATACGGCCCACGTGTCCTTGTGTGCGTGTGTGTGTGTACGTGAGTCTATGCTGCCTTTGGTTTTGCTCTGTTTGCACCTCCTGGTCGACATCATTTTATTATATCCCGAAGCCCACGCAATATGCGCCAAAAGGGTATATGTGCTCATTGCTGTTGCTTGCAAAAAAAAAATGAGGAAAACGGTGTCGATCACATTTAACATATATATTCTTGATCAGCAGCTGAATTGCATAAGTCATATCTATCTAACTCTAGAATTAAAAGAGATTCCAAATTTTAAATGTTGCGCCTCCGAACTTCCGGGCAGTTCGGGTCTACTTCAAATTTTTCATTCTTAATAAAGTCGATAAAAATCGATTTGGATATCGAAATCGATATCCTGCTTTTCAGGCTTTTCTTGGACCTTAGGCATGTTGGATACAATGGAGTTTAAACAGGTCCAACAATTCATTATTTTAATAGTTATATAAATCGAACTATTGCATGTATTGTCTTGAAATTTTCGATACACAGAACAACATTTTTTACTTTTTTACTTTCAATTTTTTAATACCTCTCTTCCTGTTTTCCAACATAGTTATAGAATTCGAATTATTAGGGGTATAATCTTGAGGTTCTATATTCCTAACAGGTCCAACCATTTTCACTATTTGAACAATTAAATGAATCGAATTTGTAGCTGTAAAGCCGTAAAGTTCTATACCTCCAACAGGTCCACAAATTTTCTCCATTTAAATATCTCTCTCCCTGACCCCCAACATACTTATAACAATCGCATTTTAGGAGGTGAAGTTTTGAGGTTTTGGATTTACTTTCACATTTGAAAGACATGGTAATGTCCTGAGAGTTTCGTAAAAATCAAGGAATAAAAACTAAAGTTAGCTAAGAATGCATTTGGTGTAGTATAGATTCGAGGGAAGAAGCTTAGCTGTTCCTGGGCTGGATATTTTCTAGTCGAGCATAGCCAACATGTTGAGTATTCTTCGTTTTATGCGGTTGTTTTTGTTGCTTTGCCCTCGATGCAAACATTTTTCCTTTTCTGATCACGGACTCGAGCCGGGGTTTGAGTACGTCTGTGTGTGCGCGCGTGTGTGTGTGTGTGTTTGTGTGTGTGTGTGTGTGTGTGTGTGCGTGTGTGTGTGTGTGTGTTTGTGTGTGTGTGTGTGTGTGTGTGTTACGGCGATTCTTTGCTACTTTTTGGCCGCATGTGACTCTTTTTGGGGGCGCCACAAAGATGACGCAATTGCAAAATGGCCAAAAGGACTGCAGCAATGGGAGCAAAAGAATCGCATTGAGCCTGCCCCAAACAGGTGGCAGGCTGCATGCGGCTGCATCTGGTAGCATGTGGCAGGCGGCAGCTGTCAGTGGCATGCAAATTACGGCCACTTTGCTTGCATTGCCCCAACAAGCATGTGAACCAACATACGACATTGTTGTTGATTGCTCCTGTTGATTCTTCATGTTGCAGCTTGTTTTTGTTGTTGCCCTATTAGTTGCTTGGCATGATTATTTCGGATTCTGTATTCTCTACTTCGTATTCCGTATTCCGTACGCCGTACCCCATATTTTGTATTCCGTATTCCATTCTCTGTATTTAGTATTCCGTATTTCGTACTACGTAATCCGTTTGCCGTATTTTGTATTCCATAATCTGTACTCCGTATTCCGTACTCCGTGTTTCGTATTCCGTACTCCATACTCCATATTTTGTATTCTGTATTCTATGCTCATTACAATGTTTCTTAATACGCTGTAAAAAGCAATGTGCCCAATAAACTGACATCACGACGCTTCAAATCGGCTCAACAGTTAGCTGATGTTTTTTGCTTTTTGTTGCTCAAGTTGTCATTGTTGTTGTTGTTGTTGTTGTTGTTGTTGTTGTTGTTGTTGTTGTTGTTGTTGTTGTTGTTGCTGTTGCTGCTGCTGCTGTCGCTGGTTTATGCAAGCCGACAACGCGCAGATTATATCAATGTAATAGTAATGTCGACTCAATGTTGCGGATTCGCAGGATTTTTGTATGCCTGGCTCATCGAATGGATTAGCCTTTTGTACACGTACACACACACACACACGCACACATATGCCCGCACACACTCAGAGAATGAGGGATATATTTTCTTTTTAATTTTTGGGAATTTCTTGACTTGGCCAGTTCTTAAATCATGAAACTTCAACCTTCAACTTGAACTCAATTTGACCCTTAATTTATGTCAATTTTGTATTAAAATGAGGAATATTTTAAGCTTGTTTTAGGTGCCCAAATTTAAGTCACAAATTCTTTTGAGCTTGTTGCAAGCATTTTTCGTTTTACTTTTTGAGACTGTTGTCATGTTGAGATTCTGGGAAAGTCGGTTAAAGTCAGGGACGATTAGAAAACAACTAGGTGCACACCTTAAATTCGTTTTGTGAATTATAAGACTCTGGATTCTTCCTGTTTCTCTGAGTGCACACTTATCAGGCAAAGCAACACTCTGATGCGCCTACAAATAGGAACACATCCAGCCAGGCCTTGGACATCCCGGTAGCTTGTCCGGGACTCCAGTATGGCAAAACGTTTCCAATCGCATGCGGCGCATTGTTGAGCTGCCCCTACCACACACGCACACACACATGTGCAGCAGAAGCGTGCGACATGCGATAAGCCTGTGTGGGCAACATGCAACATGCATGCCGCCGTCTCATGAGTTTCCAGAGCTTTTCTCGGAGCTGTTGCCCCAAAAGCCCAGCCCAGTCCCCGGATGGGGCCTGAACAAAGGGCGCCAAAAACGTCGAGAGCCAACGTCGAAAGCAGAGACAAATCCCGGTTTGTAAGCCAATTTGCACTTAGGCTTATCTAATGTCATATCATTTGTATAATGTTGTGTTGGCCTGATACTTGATACACGCTCTTCTATTGGCAGGCATGCCACGCCCCCAGCCTACAGCTTCCCCACTCGCCTTGCTAGTGTGTTCATGTGTGTGTGTGCCTTATCCTCCGGGGTTCATTTCTAAGCTCATTTATGTTTATCACAAATGCGTGCCAAAGTGTGTCGTTATTCTTGCTCTTCTTCTTCTGACTTGGCGCGAACAAAAACATTTCAAATATTCAAAAAAAAGCCGCACACACACGCCCACGCACACACTGGAGTGGGGCAGTGAGGGGCGGGGTGTATGCTCAACTAGTCGGAGCATGTCTTGGCCGTAGAAATTCATCTAACGGCTGTAACAGGTAATTGAACTTGGGTTATATGGCGCACAGAATGGCGTGCAGCTCGGCTAACGGAAATGGAATTGAATGAGGTGCGCGCGCGCCAGATGTTACCTCTGCTTGCCCTGCCCTCCCCCTTCCCTTCCCTGCCAGGCCAACATAGATAGCAAATGCGTGCGAACTACATAATGTGGACATAAAAAGGATTTGCCAAACGCCAACAACACGTGTGTCCCAAGGCATGGCAAGGGAAGGGAACTGGGGGGAACTGCGGCGCGTACTCAATTTCGAGTAACATTTTCCAGACGTATGAAAGTTGCAAATTGTATGCCATAGTTTCACACACACACACGCACACGCACACACAAAGAATAAACACGGACTGTATTGTGTTACTTCGAGCTGTGGGTATGTAGGGAGGGGCGTATATGCGTATGAGTACACAGAAAAAAATAGTTGGAATAAATTGTGTTAATTTTTGTGAAAAGTCTGCCTAAGTATGAATTCATTTTTTGGCAAAAATCTGCTTGAATCTGAAGTACAAGTAATATGAAAAGTGTTTAATATCTTGTATATAATTAAACAAAAAACTTCTAAATTCTGACCAACAAAAACAAAAAAAAAAAAACAAGAAGAAAATAGTCATATCCTTAATTTTATTAATTTGCCTTTAAAATTTTTGTCTTTGCCTTTAATCTTGCCTCTAAAAAAAAGTCACAAAATAATAAGCAAACACATTTACCTTTAGAAGGTATTTTGTGCTTCAAGTTCTAGTTAGGTTATTTCGTATATTTTTTTTTTCAGTGTACGCGTATGCGTAATGCCAACTGTTGAATAATTCATGGCCAACTGGAGATTTGTGCAGATGCTGCATGCAGTATCCAAATCGAGATCCAGATCCAGGTCCAGATCCAGCTCGGATGGCTGCTAAGCGCGTTTGATACCGATTTGTGGCACACATAACTGTAAATCGCGTATGTGAACAACAAATGTGGCATATCCAAATGTGAGTGGCATTCACTGTGAACGACTGTGAATGCCAATGCATATTTGAATAGATGGTGCTTCAGGCTCCAGGCCGTGTGCCCATTGCCAGCTAAATTGGAGCATATCTTGGCATGTTGTCATTACTTTAAGAATACATACAACTAGCAAATATTGCCCGGCATTGCTTGGCACAGGTGTTCCATTATATTTCCCTTTAATCAGTTGAAATACAGCGGAAAGTCAACTAATACCCCTTATATTTTATTCCATAGAATTCCTAAAATTAATATTAATTATTGGCATCAACTTGATTTGAACTTGTTGTTTCGAGTTTCATGAGTCTGAAAAAGAAAATCTGGCATCAGTTGCCCAAACTACGTCCATCGAAGGACTTCAGAAATTTAGAATTTAAGAAATTAGAATATTTGGGCTGCATCTTCACTGCTTTAAATTACATATTTTTTTGTTACATTTCAATATACCTACTTCTTAGTATTATTTTCTATTTTTTCACTACTTTTAGCTTTGGAATAACTTAATGCATATGAAAGAGTCGTACTCCAGTTTCAACTACACTCTTTAGCTGTCTAAAAAGCTGCACTGTCTCAAAAACGTTTTTACCAAGGTACGTTTTTTTTTGTATTTTTTATTTTGTTTTTTTTTCATCGTTCATCATTTTCATTATTTCGTACAATCATAATTTATACCTTAACAACACATAGAAGGGAAATTTTATTTAGAGTCGAACCCCATAACGCAGTATTTTAGATGTCTACTGACGTCCAATCGTCTTGCCGTTTAAGTCGCCTTCAAGGTCGGGCAGGGTGTATTGTGCCTTCCAATCTTTTCTTCTTTTAGGTCTTTATGCAGTGTACGTACCAGGGACAGTTGGTTGTCTGGCGTAGTTCCCGATTCTGCAATACTTGTACACGTTTATAATTGGATTTGGGTGCAATTCCCCAAATCTGCACTCCATAAAGCCATATCGGCAAAATACAGTGCACATATACAGCTCTTTTGCATTTCAGCTGCAAGGTGCTCCTTTTATTGTTGAGCCACTGCAGTTGTTGCAGTCTGTGACGACATTTTTATACCTTGAACCCATTAAAAATGGGAAAAAGGGTATATAGTATTTGTGCGAAATTCAAATGTATGTAACAGGCAGAAGGAAGCATCTCCGACCCCATAAAGTATATATATTCTTGATCAGCATCAATAACCGAGTCGATCTAGCCATGTCCGTCTGTCTGTCCATCTGACCATCTGTCCGTCCGTCCGTCCGTCCGTCCGTCCGTATGTATGAACGCAAGGATCTCAGATCCTATAAGAGCTAGAGACTTGAAATTTTAGATGTAGGTGCTCGTAGTGCCTGCTCAGATCGAGCTTGTTTCCGATAACTCACCCCGTTTCCAAGCAATCGATAAAAATCGATATCAATATCCTGTTTTTGGGCAATTTTGGTAAATAACAAGAGCTAGAGTCACCAAACTTGACATATAGCTTCTAAAATAGAATAAATATATGCATTTGATGTTGGAAGAAGAGGGTTCAGGGTATCCCCTAGTCGGCAGCTCCCGATTAGAACCTCTTACTTGTTTTAACGTAACTTTGAGGTGCGCCCCAAAGGTAAAACGCTTGTCCAAGATACTCAATTTGTGGCGGCTGATCCAGGGTGACTCCCCCAAGTTTGATTGGAGGGGTATGCATCCATATTTTGAGGTTTAAACATGAATTTGTTGTTTTGAGCGGGTTATCCTTTAAATTTCACCGCTTGCATTGCCGTATAATGGCAGTAGTCCGATTGGCAATAGTCCCCATTATTTAAACAGGGAGGGTAAAAGACTTATTGGCCTCAACGTATCAACGTAGCATTACAAGGCCTACCGATACACGGATCTTTTTTTGTCGGCAATAGTTGTATAGCGACAGTTATTTCTTCAATCCTTATAGGCTCAATAGGCAGGGACATCTGCAGAGTCTGATGGGCCTCCCTAGTCGAGCCTTAAGATGATATCCGAAAGCAATAGCCTGTTCCCTTTCGTTTTTGGCAAGTTCGCCACCAGGACATCGAACAGGTAACTGTCTAAAGGGTTGCCGCTTGAGAGCTTTTATGCATGTCTTTCAATGCCAATGCTCTGGACAATGCCATAACAAATGGGATGTGACTTGGGATTGGGTGAAGTTGTGGCAGTAGAAGCTCTATATATATATTTTCAGTTAGAAAATCTACTGCGTTCTAAATGTCCACTACAGAATACAAAGTCGGATTTAATTTAATTGAATTTAAGATGTTGTTTGAAAGCCATGATGTCAGTACGGATGGTGATTAATCGAGGGCTTGGCCTGGAATTAAGAGCATCTGTTTGCAAATTAACAACAAGGGCTATATGGCCAGAGTCTAAGCCCCAACTTTGGCAGATATTTCCTTGAGAATCCGGTATCCCATCGTATAGTGCGAAATCAAAACAAGTAGCTGTGTGACTGGAAACATATGGGTATCTAGTTAGAGATCCTGTTCCAAGAATATTAGCTCCTCTGTCTGTAATGGCTTCGGCTAGTTCTCGACCCCTGGGTGAATTGTAGGTATCTCCCCACAGGTAATGTCGCGCATTCCAGTCTCCAGCAATCAGATACCTTTGGCCGCAAGAAGCGAGTATGTCACTGAAGTGCCTTTCTTTAATTATATTTCTTGGTGGGCAGTATATGGCGCTATATTCCATGTCTCCCAAAGCTGTGGCAACTTTTGTTGAAGACATTTGTTTAGTTCTTGTATCGATTGTTCTTTGTGGAAAATGGCGGAGAGAACTCCTCACGAATACCGCCGCTCCTTCGACACCGTGATTGTGAAGCGATGACTTGTGAGCTGGATAGAAGGTATATCTGTGAATTTTGACTGTGTCCCCTCGGTTTAGTCTAATCTCACTTAGAAGGAGAATGTCGACAATGTTGTTGTGTGCGAAGAGATCTTTTCTAAGATCTTTGCTCAAATTCATGTGAGGCGGTATCTCTACTTGGTAGAAAAGCGTGTCAAAGATTTGGCGGGTGACGTTTCGCGCTTAAATTAATTTCCAAGGATCCTTAAGAAGAATCATTTGAGACCTGTTTTACATTTTTCGGTAAAAAGTATAATTCAAAGATTTTTTGGTGATGTTCTAATTTTTTTCCGATTTGCTTGAAAACTATTTTAAAGCTCTACATAAAAACGTAAAAAACGTTTATACGTGCCATGGGCAAGGCCGTGATATTCCCACTAGTTATTTATATTTGAAATGTGTATTAGGTTTTTTTTTTTTTGTATTTTAAATTAGTTAACAACAGTTTATTGAATATTGGGAGCTATAACTAATAAAAAATAGTAACTCAGCAATTGCTGTTTCTCAGCCGAGTATTCAGTTGGTTGCTATATTCGCAAGATTTAACTGTTAGGACCTACCTATACTTATCAGGAATATAAGATAATCAGTCAAATAAGTTTAAATATCCATTTATGGCCAAAATTGTCCTTGCCCAGACGCTGTTGACTTGGTATGTTTCTCAGGATAGCTTTCTGCTGAACTTGTGTCTGCCTTTTTCAGAAGATTTACCCCATTAAGGATGTCGGTATGATAGTGTTCTTGTTTATGAAATATACTGCGAATAGAAATAAAAATAGAGAGTGATGTCGGACTCAGTAGATAACGTCTGAGCAAGGTAAGGTCGCAGGTTTAAATCCAGCGGCAGTGTTAATATGTTATTATTCACAAGGAAAAACAATATTTATATTCCGCAAATATATATAGAAATATAAATTTATGTCTGACTGAGTAGAGAAGCGTGAGGTCGCTGGTTCAAACCTTGTAAATAAATTATAAGGCAATTCAGAACTTATGCCCTTGTTCCCTGGTATATGGAGCATTTTTTGTGCTTGGTGCACATTCAGTCGAAGATCGCGATTCGTTTTGTTGCCCGACCCACTGCATCGGACTTTTGGCATTTCCATGCATTTCTTTTGCACTCCACGCTCACATTGCCAAACAGCATGGCGTGTGGGATTGGTAAGGGAGATGGGTAGGGCCTAGGGGTGCATGGTGCACCCTCTCGTCCGCTTTTGCTGCTGTTTTTGTGCGTTTTGTGCATTGTTGGCCTCGCTGTGCGCCTGGTACTCGCATCTCTACAGCAAGTGTGAGTGTATGTGTGTGTCTGTGTGTGTGTGTGTCTGTGTGTGTGTGTATGTGTGTGTGTGTGTGTGTGTGCATGCTGGGGTTGAGTTATGGCTGCGAAGGGGGGCTGGGGCTTATCCGACTGTGGAGAACGCGTTGCTTTGGCTTGGTCTTGTTGTCGACAGGGCTTCTTTCTTTTGTACTGCAGCAGCTGCAGCCCATCCTTACTCCCGTGGCCATGGCCATGAGGTCAACAGGTGGCGCCAAGCTTGTGGACGGCACGCGCCGTTTCACACGGTTCACCCACACAAAAACACGGCTCACATCCGCCCCGTCTCCCCTCCCCTGTCGCCTGTTCTCGTCCACGGGCAGCACAGTGTGAAGGACGTTCAGTTTTCTTTCGTTTTTTGGCGCAACTTTTTGTGTGTGTGTGTGGGTGTTGACTGCTTTGGTCTGATTCTTTTTGGAAAAGCCGCACGTTTTCCTCTTTGCTTTCTTTGCTGGCAGCACTCCGGGCCCGGGACCGGGCCCTTTTTGGGTACCATCCCAATGCCCAATCGTCAGTCGGTTCACGCAAGGTTGCAATATGACATATATTTTTTTGTTTGACTTTCGATTCGTGTCCAACTTTGTTCGGTTTGAGTGTTTAGCCTGTACTTGGCATTTCTTTTTTTTTTTTGTTCAATACAAGCGCAAAAAGTCAAAAGAAATGCGATTTACTTCAAAAATATTTTGATTCATTTTGAATGAATTCAATAAATAAATTTTCATAATATTTAACATACAAATGTTGTTGCATCAATAACTAAAATAAAATAAAATAAAATGAACCAATCTAAACGTTTATTCAAGAATCAAAGCACAGATTTATGATATATTTTTTTATAATACCTTCCGGTCATCAGAGAATATCCAAGTAAAAAATGTTTTTTTCTGGCTATGAATCTTTATTTACAACTTGTCGCTAGTGGAAGTAGCTATAATCTCAGAAATTCTATTGACATAGATTTATACTCAAATAATTTATTATAAATAACTTCTTATTGGCTTTGCTAAGAGTGTGTGAGTGGGAAGTTTTTCTGGGAAATGGTCTTTCAGACTTCCGATGATGAAGAGAGTTTCGCCAGTTCTGTAAAAATCATACCCGATCCTTATGTCTCATTCCAGATCCTTTATTATAAAACAGTTTCGAGCCAGTTTCCAACAAAAAGTCTCTTGATATAATTTAAGCATTGTTTGATGCTTAAATCACTCCAAAATATAATTTTACACGTGCTGCTCGACTCAACTATGCAATAATCAGGGTAACATCTTGTTTTTTTTTTGCTCTTTGATGTTTTCCCTTAACCAGGTTTTTTAAACCTTTCTCAACGTATCTGAATGCTGCAATAGAAAAATAAAAAAAAAAAAAAAACATTAGAATTTGCTTACCTTCAGCAGTTTTTCGATTCAAAAACGATTAATAATGCTATTTTCATACTCCGAACCC